CCCTGGGTCTCACATCGCGTCAAAGGTGGCACCTCAGTATCTTTGCCACATGCAGCTCACCATGTACCTTCCAGCCCTAACAAAGGGCCGGCCCACCCTGAGTCCACGATTCGAATAAGGGCTCCCTAGCCCCAGTCCCATCACGTGAACAAGGCACAGGGTGGCTCACACACACCAGGAAAAAAACAAAAGTCCAGCAAATGAAAGAACTGTGGCTCTGTGTACAAAATTCCGAAGTGGAAAATGTTAGCGGAACTCGCGGTGCGCGTGAGCTGCGACACAGATATTTTTAAATGAAAGCCTTCCTGACTCACAGACACTCCTGGCTTTCATGGAAACAGCCCTTTCGAGAGAATCTTCAAAGGCTGCTATGACACGGAATCCAGGTCAAGTAAACCCCTCGGGAACAGGATGGGGAGTAGTGACACCATGAGGGGAGGGGGAGGTGAGGAGGAGGGGAGGAAGGGGAAGCGATCTCAATAATCGACACATAATCAATAATCGACACATAACCAGGGGGAGTGGGGGAGGGAACACAGAGGAGCTGATACCAAGGACTCAAACAGAAAGTAAATGTTTAGAAAATAATGATGGCAACATATGTACCATTGTGCTTGATACGATTGATATCTCAGTTGTTATAAGAGTCCCCCATAAAATAATCTTTAAAAAATAAAATTAAAAAAAGGCTGCTCAAGAATGGATTGATGGGTGCCTTTCATGAGACTCGGGCCCCAGGCCAGCTGTGACTGAAGGGTGTGGGTGCACCACAAAGTGTCATCCACAGAGTTTGGGGGGCGGGGTGGCAATAGAGAGGCCCGTAATGATAGAGACTGCTGGGAGGGGTGGGGGGGCAGTGGTCGAGCACGTGCCCCCACTTCCACCCTAGCCCGTGACTGGGCAGTCAACACAGCTCAAGGGCCCCTTTGTGCAAAGCAGAGCCCAGAGAGATGAGGTGACACACAGCCAGACTGTGGCCAGCCGGAACCACAACCCTGGCCTGGGGCTGGCTCTGTTGGACCCTGTAGTCGCTACAGCCTGGGAAGGTTGACACAGAGGAGCCCCTGTGTGCCGGGTCCAACAGAGAGTGAGGGGGGCAGTGAGGCACACCAACCGACCAGGACGGCTGCCTCCCACCTACCTGCTCCTCGTCCTGGTGCCCCACAGGTCGCACCAACAGGCCAGCCGGTTAGCTTCGGGAAGAGGGACGGGGTCTGCCCAGAGCTGTACCTACTGGCCTCGCAGAGACCCTGTAAGATGAGACCGAGGGAGTTCCAGGCCCACAAGTGGAGATACAGCTGATGGGAGAGAAGAGTTATCGCCACAGCGGCTACTGTGTGAACACTTCACCGTCAGCTCTAAGACTTCAACACCATGAAGCCTGTCTACGTATGACCCTTGCTTTACAGGGCTTAAAACCCCAAAACTAATCATGCAATTGGGGGACGTGGAACCCTCGTGCGGACGGGGGAGGGACCATACAAATAGGGACCATGGAAACAAAGCGAGGGATTCAGTCGGTTTTACCTCTTGCTAGGCTTCAAGGGACCCACCCACAAAAGCAGAGTAAGGGGCCTGCACTACCAACCAAAGAAAGAGCTGGGAGTGCAGTGCATCCTTTGGACCCGGGGTCCCTGCGCGGAGAACCCCCTGGATGCCAGGAAGCACGGAGAGCCACCTGCAGAGCTGCAGATGGCAGAAGGCAAGCAGAGGCAGGCAGACGGACCAGGAGACCCGCACGGCAGAGCCAGAGCAAGGTGACCTCCTCAGCAAGGGAGCCAGGCCTTTGGACAGGAGTGGGCACTTTCCAGCATTCATTGAGCAGGGGAGAGGGCAGGCCGAGGGCAAGGGGCTCAGAGAGAGGCCTGCCTGCTAGAATGGCTAAGAAGATGCCATCCAGATTGAAGGCCTAGATCCTAAGTTATATCCTTTACTCCCCTAGTAAACCCCACAACTGTGAGCAGCCTGTGTGGCCATCACCATGAGAGAGTGCCTGCGGGGTTGTTGTCAGTCGATGGTGGTTAAAAAAACAACAACAACAACAAAACCTGGCAAGCCATACACAACGGGACCTGTCCCATGTAGAAGAATCCAGTCCTTCCGGCTGCTCCAGGGATGTGGCAGGCTCCTCCCCGCCCGCCCGGCCCCACCCTTACTCCTCCTGGGCTCCCCCAGCTCCCTCCTGTCGGCTGGTCCTGAGGAACAGTCCGCCTGCAACAAACTGGCAGGGGCCTGGGGCCCGGCTGGAGGCAGAGGGCTGGGGCAGGAGCCACTCCCTAACAGAGGTCCCCCATCAAGTCAGGTCTTGGGGGCTTGAGAGGAGGGGAGCCAGTGTCGTTCCTGCATCGGGTCATTTTCAACGCACAGGGGCCCTGTGC